ATCACAACTTGATAAAGGATGGAGCATCAACACCAAGGATTCCGTAGGTTTAGAATTTATTAGTTTACATGTTTAGGTTGGCTAGGCCAACCGTCATCAGAAAAATTTTACATCGAGAAAAATGAAGCTAAGGTGTAAATCACAAGTGTACTTCTAAAGGTGTACTATAGATACTGTATGAATACACTAGTTACCACAAGTGTAGTTGTAAAGGTGTACTATAGATATTGTATTACTACACTAGTCATCACAAGTGTACTTGTAAATGTGTACTATAGATACTGTATGAATACACTAGTTACCACAAGTGTAGTTGTAAAGGTGTACTATAGATATTGTATGACTACTCTAGTTATCACAAGTGTAGTTGTAAAGGGGTACAATAGATACTGTATGACTACTCTAGTTATCACAAGTGTACTTGTAAATGTGTACTATAGATACTGTATGAAGTATGATTTGAAGCAAATATTGCAGTGATGTCTAACCGGGTTGGCAGTGTGTTTGTAGTTGATGTGTCTGCGCAATGCAGACAAATTCCCAACCGTTGTTGAGCAGTATGGACAGTGTAGATTAGCCTTCGGTATACAGACGGTAGGCGGTAGTAACTTACGTGCTGTTGTTTTCGTTTTAGCCATGTTGGATATTAAGGCCGGATGGTTCTAAAATTTTTAAAGTGTCTATCCACGTTTCCTCCGTTCTGAGACGGATGTTGACGTTGGCCGTTGTTGTGGTGATAACAATGATTTTGACGTCATCAATGTTGTGATTGTCTGACGTGAAGTGGCGGGACACGGGTTTGTATCGGTTGGCGTTACGTATGTCAGCAAAGTGACCATACATTCTCTGGCGTATAGTGTTGGAGGTTTGTCCAACGTATTGTATGTTGCATTTTAGGCATTGGAGTAGATAAATAGCGCTGGTGGATTTACAGTTGAGACTCTGATGGATATTGAAAGCTTCTTTGGTAACATTACTGTTAAAAATTCGTGTGTCCAAAATGTACGGACAGGTCTGGCATGGTTTACCGCAAGGGCGGCAACCAGGTTTGCTGGAAGACCGTTTGATGGCCGCTCGGACAAGTAAGTCTTTGAGACAAGGGGCTCTGCGGTGAGCTACGGTGATTCGGTGTAGCGACAAGGGATTGTCCAAGTGTGGTTGGGTTAAAAGGCCTATGTGCCGATCTATAATGTTCTTGAGCGGAGGGTTGGCCGGGTTGTATGTGACGATGAATGGGATTTTCGGAGGACAAGCGGCCTTGTCAGGGCTCAGTAACTGCATTCTAGGGATGTCTCGTGCTTTGTTGATGGCTTGAGATAACAGGTGATTAGGATACCCACGGGCTCTGAAAAAGCCGCGTAGGTCACTACAGTGTTTGTCATATTCGGACAGGGTACTACAAATACGACGGATTCTGAGAGCTTGGCTGAATGGTATACTCCGGATTTGGTGTTTCAGATGACATGAATTGTAGTGTAGGTACAGATGTGCATCAGTAGGTTTAGTATACAACGATGTTTGGAGGGTGCCATCCTCCAGTTATCACAAGTGTACTTGTAAAGGTGTACTATAGATACTGTATGACTACACTAGTTATCACAAGTGTACTTGTAAGGGGTACTATAGATACTGTATGACTACACTAGTTATCCCAAGTGTACTTGTAAAGGTGTACTATAGATATTAGGTGTACTATAGATACTGTATGACTACACTAGTGATCACAAGTGTACTTGTAAAGGTGTACTATAGATACTGTATGACTAGACTAGTTATCACAAGTGTAGTTGTAAAGGTGTACAATAGATACTGCATGACTACACTAGTTATCACAAGTGTACTTGTAAGGTGGACTATAGATACTGTATGACTACACTAGTTATCCCAAGTGTACTTGTAAAGGTGTACTATAGATACTGTATGACTAGACTAGTTATCACAAGTGTAGTTGTAAAGGTGTACTATAGATACTGTATGACTAGACTAGTTATCACAAGTGTAGTTGTAAAGGTGTACTATAGATACTGTATGACTAGACTAGTTATCACAAGTGTAGTTGTAAAGGTGTACAATAGATACTGTATGACTACACTAGTTATCACAAGTGTACTTGTCAAGGTGTGCTATACATATTGTATGACTACACTAGTTATCACAAGTGTACTTGTAAAAGTGTACTATAGATACTGAATGACTACACTAGTTATCACAAGTGTACTTGTAAGGTGGACTATAGATACTGTATGACTACACTAGTTATCCCAAGTGTACTTGTAAAGGTGTACTATAGATACTGTATGACTAGACTAGTTATCACAAGTGTAGTTGTAAAGGTGTACTATAGATACTGTATGACTAGACTAGTTATCACAAGTGTAGTTGTAAAGGTGTACTATAGATACTGTATGACTCCACTAGTTATCACAAGTGTAGTTGTAAAGGTGTACTATAGATACTGTATGACTAGACTAGTTATCACAAGTGTACTTGTAAAGGTGTACTATAGATATTGTATTATCATTTGGTTTGGTATGTTTGTACAGATCGACGGCCAGTATCTGGTGACTGCTCATGTCGGCCTCAAACCTGCGACCCAGTGGTGAAGGGCTAGTTAGTGGCAGCAGAATGACAGACGCCTTAATTACTTAGCCACTAGTTATCACCTAACGCACTTGTAAAAGTGTATTATAGGTTGTGTATGAATACACTACTTATCACTATAGTGTACTTGTGTAACAGCTAAGGAATATGAGGGGGAAATACTGCCTTAAAGCAAGTTAGCTTTACCAGTGATACAGTATAACCTGGGGACCCACTCACTAGTTCAGCAACGTCGAGCATGGTCAGTAGTTGGATGGACGACAGCCTGCAGGTTACACTTGTAGGTATTGTACTGGGGTAGTTATCACTTTGTGTACTTGTAATAAGTGTACTCTAGGTATTGTACTGGGGTAGGTATCACTTTGTGTACTTGTAATAAGTGTACTCTAGGTATTGTACTGGGGTAGTTATCACTTTGTGTACTCTAGGTATTGTACTAGGGTAGTTATCACTTTGTGTACTTGTAATAAGTGTACTGTAGGTATTGTACTGGGGTAGGTATCACTTTGTGTACTTGTAATAAGTGTACTCTAGGTACTGTACTGGGTTAGTAATCACTTTGTGTACTTGTAATAAGTGTACTCTAGGTATTGTACTGGGGTAGTTATCACTTTGTGTACTTGTAATAAGTGTACTCTAGGTATTGTACTGGGGTAGTTATCACTTTGTGTACTTGTAATAAGTGTACTCTAGGTATTGTACTGGGGTAGTTATCACTTTGTGTACTTGTAATAAGTGTACTCTAGGTATTGTACTGGGGTAGTTATCACTTTGTGTACTTGTAATAAGTGTACTCTAGGTATTGTACTGGGGTAGTTATCACTTTGTGTACTTGTAATAAGTGTACTCTAGGTATTGTACTGGGGTAGTTATCACTTTGTGTACTTGTAATAAGTGTACTCTAGGTATTGTACTGGGGTAGTTATCACTTTGTGTACTTGTAATAAGTGTACTCTAGGTATTGTACTGGGGTAGTTATCACTTTGTGTACTTGTAATAAGTGTACTCTAGGTATTGTACTGGGGTAGTTATCACTTTGTGTACTTGTAATAAGTGTACTCTAGGTATTGTACTGGGGTAGTTATCACTTTGTGTACTTGTAATAAGTGTACTCTAGGTATTGTACTGGGGTAGTTATCACTTTGTGTACTTGTAATAAGTGTACTCTAGGTATTGTACTGGGGTAGTTATCACTTTGTGTACTTGTAATAAGTGTACTCTAGGTATTGTACTGGGGTAGTTATCACTTTGTGTACTTGTAATAAGTGTACTCTAGGTATTGTACTGGGGTAGTTATCACTTTGTGTACTTGTAATAAGTGTACTCTAGGTATTGTACTGGGGTAGTTATCACTTTGTGTACTTGTAATAAGTGTACTCTAGGTATTGTACTGGGGTAGTTATCACTTTGTGTACTTGTAATAAGTGTACTCTAGGTATTGTACTGGGGTAGTTATCACTTTGTGTACTTGTAATAAGTGTACTCTAGGTATTGTACTGGGGTAGTTATCACTTTGTGTACTTGTAATAAGTGTACTCTAGGTATTGTACTGGGGTAGTTATCACTTTGTGTACTTGTAATAAGTGTACTCTAGGTATTGTACTGGGGTAGTTATCACTTTGTGTACTTGTAATAAGTGTACTCTAGGTATTGTACTGGGGTAGTTATCACTTTGTGTACTTGTAATAAGTGTACTCTAGGTATTGTACTGGGGTAGTTATCACTTTGTGTACTTGTAATAAGTGTACTCTAGGTATTGTACTGGGGTAGTTATCACTTTGTGTACTTGTAATAAGTGTACTCTAGGTATTGTACTGGGGTAGTTATCACTTTGTGTACTTGTAATAAGTGTACTCTAGGTATTGTACTGGGGTAGTTATCACTTTGTGTACTTGTAATAAGTGTACTCTAGGTATTGTACTGGGGTAGTTATCACTTTGTGTACTTGTAATAAGTGTACTCTAGGTATTGTACTGGGGTAGTTATCACTTTGTGTACTTGTAATAAGTGTACTCTAGGTATTGTACTGGGGTAGTTATCACTTTGTGTACTTGTAATAAGTGTACTCTAGGTATTGTATGCTATGTACTAATAACAAACATTTTCTATCAACACAAGAATACACCAAATTCAGATCTAATATGGTCACTAATTTGCGTCAAACTCCTGTTTTTTGGGATTGACTGAAGATGTAACTATGGTAACTCCTTTTGATCAATATCACTAAAGTGAGAATATTTGCAGGCAAGGAAATGCATATATTTAAACAGCCATTCTGAGGCCAGTTAACAGATGCATGCTACATACATATCCACAGTCGGACTTGAACTGGTAGCAAGCGCCAATCGATCAGCAGTAGACCCTTTGTAATATTGATAGTTAAATATTTCTATTGAAGACTATTTATATTCTGTAGTAAAAGGATTACTGCTATCCTGTAAGTTTATATCCACATATTCATTTTTCCTGCCCTGCTTTAGAAGTTGTAGTTTTATAGTGGCCACTTCCTTGCTTCCGTCGGACGATGGCACTGTGCTACCAGACTTGGTCATGTCTGGTGCATTGACGGCAGAAATGTTAATAACACAGCCTTTGTTTATCAGCTGCCTCTCATGTGCCATAGCTAGCTGGGACACCACCCTCCTCTCAACCTCAACAAAAACAAACAGGTTGCTTTATAATTAGAAACTGTCAATTTTGTCTTTAATCACATTAAAATCAACAATAGAAGGTGAAAAACATTCAACTTCATTGAAAATAAACCTTCAGTAAATTTGAATCTGAGGTACAATAAAAACAATAACTTTTCTAACTATTTATGGATAGAACCCTTCTTAAAAACATTCCAGATTGCTTAAATACAAAATTTGAGTAATGAAATAACAGAATTATTGATTAATTTCGGATGAAATATTAGCCTCGCGAAACTTGCTCAAACTGATCAATTTTCCCTTTGACAGTATTTGATAATCGGATTATGGGTTGAACTTCAGCAAAATAAGCATGTGCTAGCAAAACCAAGTAAGGCGTATACCATCCTGCCAGTACAGAGTGTGAAACGTTCCTATCACGTCATATCAAAGGCCCATAACTCTGTATACAGGGGATCACAAGAGCTTAGGTATTGTGTCAGTGTTGTATAGCAGGTGTTTTAGTTGTAAATCAAAAAGAAATCACTGTATTATATATCCTGACATATTTTACAAACACAGATGACGATTAGTGTTCACTATAGTGTGTATAATTGACCTGGACTTGCAGTGATCATTGACAATTTCTTGTATTACTAATTGACCTGGTTCCGTAGTGGACTTAACTCGTACTTAACAGTTTTAGATGACAATGACAGATTTACCTCTAGCCTCCTGTAGATGAACTTACCTCGTAATTAATTGACCTGGCTCCGTACTAGTGGATTTACCTCATACCAAACAGTTTCAGATGACAATGAGATTTACCTCTAGACACCTGTAATCTTACCTCATATTTAATTGACCTGGCCCCGTACTAGTGGATTTACCTCATACAAAACAGTTTCAGATGACAATGAGATTTACCTCTAGACACCTGTAAACTTACCTCATATTTAATTGACCTGGCCCCGTAATGGACATCATAGCCTTCAGCCAGGACATCAACCACACTATGGTCCCAGATTAGTTTGATGTTATGTTTCGTTTTAGCTTGTTCTGACCAAAATTCCAGCTCCTTGGTCACAAGTTTACTTAGCTCAGATCTCGAAAATGGTAAAAAATAAACCACTTCATTTATCCTTCCAAGGAACTCATCTCTTCTGAAGGCTCTCTGAAAGGAAAACAAGTCTTCTTCCATATAAAGGATTGCTCCTTGACCAACAACATTGTATGCTAACAGTTTCACAAATGAGAAACTTCAGGTTCATATAACAAGTGATTATTATAGTTCTAACATTATCTTTTGACTGTAGTGTCTATTTATTGTCAGTAGAACTGCTGTGGAAACTTGATCAATTCCTCACTACACAATATCTACGTGTAACATTACCTTTAGGATCGGACGTACAACAATGTCTTTAAACCTCCTAGATATGGTGATCCTCTCAGTAGCCTCCAGGTCCTCTGAGCAAGGAAAAAGCAACTTAAACTCGGGTGTATGCCAATTTTTCAATAAAAATACTAAAATAAGACAATCAGATAATTACTGAATTTAGAGGGGTTTTTTTCATAGCACCGTTATGTTGGAGCTAGATCAGAGTTTTATGAACATTAAAATTTCTTGTAGATATATAACTAGATATAACAATTATTTTGATTGTTTTTCCTGTTATGATAAGCTATTAAGGACAATGCAGTGTGAAATGCGACACCCACCCAGTTTTCCCACATGTTTGTGCTTGGACAACTCAGATGCTTCCTGTCTTAGGTGAAGGGCGTGGTTAGCTATCTCTTCGCTGGCAAGGTTGGATGTCATAATAAAGATGGCATCCTTACAATCAATGGTCTTCCCCTTGCCATCTGTGAGGCGACCCTTCAATAGACGGGAAACACATTTGATTCTACAATTTTTTTCTAACTAGATATTCACCCTTATATGAGATACAACTAGAAGCTGATGCCATGTTAATAAAAGGGTGAATATAGTTACCTGTATATATTCTTTTTAATTTAGCACTTATAAGCAATATTCTCAATTGATATGGTCCTACCATCCTAAGAAACAATTGAACGTCCCTCACTAACCTCGTCAAACAGCTGAAGCATGATGGTCAGTATATCGGGGTGTGCCTTGTCCACCTCATCGAACAAGACAACAGCTGTTGGACTTTCCGTCAGTCTCTTGGTGAGCTGTCCACCCTCTTCATGTCCTACATAACCAGGAGGCGAGCCGATAAACTTAGCAACCTGTGGGTCATAAACAATCACACAGTCAACCACGGGTTCAAGGCCACGGGGGTTCAAAGTTCAGAATTTATTGAAATTTATTGTTATCAGATATTCTTTATAAAATAACATCCCAACCTAGTTGAAGTTCACCAATAAGACACTCCGATTCCTAATACATGTAATGCAGCTTTTGCCCTCTGATTATCCAACCTTTGATATTTTTTGTATTTACCTTCACTGGATTGGGGGTAAGTAAACTGAACTAAACTTATGCTCAACACCAAAATTTGTCATTCTAGCAAATGTAATTATATCCCATGTTCTTGCAAAATATCTAATTTCATAACAATCAGTTGAGTCGCATGAACCAAGAATTTAGAAATCCAGAAAATTATTTTCTATACATTTATATACTTATGATTACCGTTTGATTGAAATCCCCTAACAAGAGGCCCAATTGGCCTGCATCGCTCACCTGGTATACATCTCACACTTGTAACATTAAAAGTGATCTAAAATAAGCTACAGGCAAAATATCAGTATTTATGATTAAAATTCATTCAAAAGAACCTGTTAATTTTTTTTAAAACATTTCACCCCTGTGATTGATTAAGTCATTATGTTGAACAAATTTTATAGCCTTTCATCTCAGGATGCAACTTGCAAAGTATCAACATCCTGGGACCCATGGTTATTCAGAAGAGGGCGTTTAAAGATTTAAACAAATTTGACCCCGTGACCTTGAATATAAGTCAAAGTCATTCACTCTAACAAACATAGTAGCCCTTGATCCTAGTGTGCTACTGACTAAATATCATCACCCTAGGCACTTTGGTTATTCAGAAGAAGTTGTTTAAAGTTTTTAACATATTTGACCTCTGTGACCTTGAAAATGGGTCAAGGTCATTAATTTTAACAAACTTTGTAGCCCTTCATCCCAGTTTGCTTCTGGCAAAATATAGACACCCTAGGCCTTTCGGTTATTAAGAAGAAGTCGTTTAAAGTAAAATATTGACGCCGGATGGACGGCCGGACGCCGGACGCCGGACGCCATGGCACAAGCTCACTTGGCACTTCGTGCCAGGTGAGCTAAAAACTAAATCATGAGAAACAAGGTTCCAGTGTAGGATCAAGTTGTCTTACCTCGTGTTTCTCCTGGTACTCTGACATGTCTATCCTTATGAAGCCCTGTACAGTAGAGGAGGACATATTATAATCCCTCTACAGGTAAAACTCTATACAGGTAAAAGTCTATGTAGGTAAAACTCTATACAGGTAAAAGTCTATGTTGGTAAAACTCTTCATAGGTAAAACTCTATGTAGGTGAAACTATATACACGTAAAACTCTATGTAGGTAAAACAATATACAGGTAAAACTCTATGTAGGTAAAACTATATACAGGTAAAACTCTATGTAGCTAAAACTATGTAGGTAAAACTATATTCAGGTAAACAATATACAGGTAAAACTCTATGTAGGTAAAACTCTATACAGGTAAAACTCTATGTAGCTAAAACTATGTAGGTAAAACTATATTCAGGTTAAACTATGTAGGTAAAACTCTTCATGGGTAAAACTCTATGTAGGTAAAACTCTATACAGGTAAAAGTCTATGTAGGTAAAACTCTTCATAGGTAAAACTATATACAGGTAAAACTCTATGTAGGTGAAACTATATACAGGTAAAACTCTTCATAGGTAAAACTATATACAGGTAAAACTCTATGTAGGTAAAACGATATACAGGTAAAACTCTATGTAGGTAAAACAATATACAGGTAAAACTCTAAGTAGGTAAAACTATATACAGGTAAAACTCTATGTAGGTAAAACTCTTCATAGGTAAAACTATATACAGGTAAAACTCTATGTAGGTAAAACTATATATATATACAGGTAAAACTCTGTGTAGGTAAAACTCTATGTAGGTAAAACTCTCTACAGGTAAAACTCTACAGGGGTAAATCTCTATACAGGTAAAACTATATATAGGTAAACTCTACACAGGTAAAACTATATAGGTAAAACTCTAAGTAGGTAATTTCTAAACATTTTCTTCAGGTTGGTAAGTATGGATTATGAGAAGTGTCTAAATAGGTAACATTCTGTATAGGTAAAAGTAGAAGTTTGCCAATAGACATATCATACATACTGGTATAGGACATATGGAAAATTATAAATGAGTTATTAACTTCAGTAAAAATACAGACCCTAACATCAAAGATTGTAGCATTACAAAATCAAATAATGTTCACTGAATTTAAACTTTACATGCTTCTAGCTTACCATTACAAGGTATATTCAGTTATGAAGACAACCTTTATCATACTTTTGAGTCAAATCCATCACATGTAATGAATGATTGACTATGGAACTTTATATGTTATGATTGTCAAATAAAGGTGATCGTGTTTTATATATAAACTCCTTTTAAAATGTTTTCAGATCTGTGACAGAGTTTCTCTCTTTTAAACACTTTGAACAGTTGACTAGTATGGTATCTGGATGTAGATAAGTCAATGTTTGTGAACAGGTACTAACTCAAAATAGTGTGAGTATTTTTAATTCATATGATAAAATATCTTGTGGAAAAACAAATATCATTTGCATACATAAGTGTAGGTGAAATTTCTTAGAGGTAAATGAAGAGAAATAAGTGTACAAACCTTTTTCACATCCTTATGTAGATACCTGGCACACTGTTTAGCTAATTCGGTTTTACCTGTAAAAAATGTCTTGGTTATTACATGACTTTCAGAAGTAAACATGATTGCATGAAGTCTTATTTATAACATAGAAGTCATTTTAAGTATGATTTTTTTTCTGGCACAGCAGATTGTAAATTCAATTATTTGTGTGGTAAAAATATTTCAGCACATTTTATACTTTTGAATTAAAAAGTACTACAAACATGTGAATATAAAATCCTCATATTCCTGAATAAACCATTATGCAAGTAAGTTGAAATGTCTAGGAGTGCGCTATAGAATTATCATCTTTCCAGTCTAAATGACTCCTATGACTGCATACTCCTAGACAGATTTCAGATATTTCTATGTATGATCTGTTCAGTATCGTTGATGCCAAATGATGTCAATGTAATTACCTCTCTGGACCCCAGAGTGCTATATGTATTATATGTTGGTCGTGTCTCTCTGGACCCCAGAGGGCTATATGTATTATATGTTGGTCGTGTCTTTCTGGACCCCAGAGTGCTATATGTATTAGATGTTGGTCATGTCTCTCTGGACCCGAGAGAGCTATATGTATTATATGTTGGTCATGTCTCTCTGGACCCGAGAGTGCTATATGTATTATATGTTGGTAGTGCCTCTCTGGACCCCAGAGTGCTATATGTATTATATGTTGGTCATGTCTCTCTGGACCCGAGAGTGCTATATGTATTATATGTTGGTCGTGTCTCTCTGGACCCCAGAGTGCTATATGTATTATATGTTGGTCATGCTAAAAATCATGTACAGAAGAAGTTGAGATAACAATACTTATAGTTTATAAAAATCCATTTTGTAAATCGTTATAAATATTTATTACTAGTTTTACCTATTCCTGAAGATCCCATGAATAGAAACACCAGAGGATGGTCCTCATCGTACCAGCCGTTCTCCTTTCTTCTGATAGCTGTGGAAGGTAATTACATGTACAATGATAATGTATACATCCAAAAACACAATTCTGTATGATCACAAATCAGTATCTATCTCAAAATGTTTGCTACAAAATAGAACTAGCATGATTTATGCACAATTTACTTGCTTGTTTGGTGATTCAGTCATGATGCTAACATTTCATGTAACACCAGTACTGTTATACCCACCAGTAGCCACAGTATTGATGGCACCATCCTGTACAATGATGTGTTACCATTATACCCACCAACAGCCACAGTATTGATGGCACCACCCTGTCTGATGATGTGTTACCATTATACCCACCAGTAGCCACAGTATTGATGGCACCACCCTGTCTGATGATGTGTTACCATTATACCCACCAGTAGCCACAGTATTGATGGCACCACCCTGTCTGATGATGTGTTACCATTATACCCACCAGTAGCCACAGTATTGATGGCACCACCCTGTCTGATGATGTGTTACCATTATACCCACCAGTAGCCACAGTATTGATGGCACCACCCTGTCTGATGATGTGTTACCATTATACCCACCAGTAGCCACAGTATTGATGGCACCACCCTGTCTGATGATGTGTTACCATTATACCCACCAGTAGCCACAGTATTGATGGCACCATCCTGTCTGATGATGTGTTACCATTATACCCACCAGTAGCCACAGTATTGATGGCACCATCCTGTCCAATGATGTGTTACCATTATACCCACCAGTAGCCACAGTATTGATGGCACCATCCTGTCTGATGATGTGTTACCATTATACCCACCAGTAGCCACAGTATTGATGGCACCATCCTGTCTGATGATGTGTTACCATTATACCCACCAGTAGCCACAGTATTGATGGCACCATCCTGTCCAATGATGTGTTACCATTATACCCACCAGTAGCCACAGTATTGATGGCACCATCCTGTCTGATGATGTGTTACCATTATACCCACCAGTAGCCACAGTATTGATGGCACCATCCTGTCCAATGATGTGTTACCATTATACCCACCAGTAGCCACAGTATTGATGGCACCATCCTGTCTGATGATGTGTTACCATTATACCCACCAGTAGCCACAGTATTGATGGCACCATCCTGTCTGATGATGTGTTACCATTATACCCACCAGTAGCCACAGTATTGATGGCACCATCCTGTCTGATGATGTGTTACCATTATACCCACCAGTAGCCACAGTATTGATGGCACCATCCTGTCTGATGATGTGTTACCATTATACCCACCAGTAGCCACAGTATTGATGGCACCATCCTGTCCAATGATGTGTTACCATTATACCCACCAGTAGCCACAGTATTGATGGCACCATCCTGTCTGATGATGTGTTACCATTATACCCACCAGTAGCCACAGTATTGATGGCACCATCCTGTCTGATGATGTGTTACCATTATACCCACCAGTAGCCACAGTATTGATGGCACCATCCTGTCCAATGATGTGTTACCATTATACCCACCAGTAGCCACAGTATTGATGGCACCATCCTGTCTGATGATGTGTTACCATTATACCCACCAGTAGCCACAGTATTGATGGCACCATCCTGTCTGATGATGTGTTACCATTATACCCACCAGTAGCCACAGTATTGATGGCACCATCCTGTCTGATGATGTGTTACCATTATACCCACCAGTAGCCACAGTATTGATGGCACCATCCTGTCCAATGATGTGTTACCATTATACCCACCAGTAGCCACAGTATTGATGGCACCATCCTGTCTGATGATGTGTTACCATTATACCCACCAGTAGCCACAGTATTGATGGCACCATCCTGTCTGATGATGTGTTACCATTATACCCACCAGTAGCCACAGTATTGATGGCACCATCCTGTCTGATGATGTGTTACCATTATACCCACCAGTAGCCACAGTATTGATGGCACCATCCTGTCTGATGATGTGTTACCATTATACCCACCAGTAGCCACAGTATTGATGGCACCATCCTGTCTGATGATGTGTTACCATTATACCCACCAGTAGCCACAGTATTGATGGCACCATCCTGTCTGATGATGTGTTACCATTATACCCACCAGTAGCCACAGTATTGATGGCACCATCCTGTCTGATGATGTGTTACCATTATACCCACCAGTAGCCACAGTATTGATGGCACCATCCTGTCTGATGATGTGTTACCATTATACCCACCAGTAGCCACAGTATTGATGGCACCATCCTGTCTGATGATGTGTTACCATTATACCCACCAGTAGCCACAGTATTGATGGCACCATCCTGTCTGATGATGTGTTACCATTATACCCACCAGTAGCCACAGTATTGATGGCACCATCCTGTCTGATGATGTGTTACCATTATACCCACCAGTAGCCACAGTATTGATGGCACCATCCTGTCTGATGATGTGTTACCATTATACCCACCAGTAGCCACAGTATTGATGGCACCATCCTGTCTGATGATGTGTTACCATTATACCCACCAGTAGCCACAGTATTGATGGCACCATCCTGTCTGATGATGTGTTACCATTATACCCACCAGTAGCCACAGTATTGATGGCACCATCCTGTCTGATGATGTGTTACCATTATACCCACCAGTAGCCACAGTATTGATGGCACCATCCTGTCTGATGATGTGTTACCATTATACCCACCAGTAGCCACAGTATTGATGGCACCATCCTGTCTGATGATGTGTTACCATTATACCCACCAGTAGCCACAGTATTGATGGCACCATCCTGTCTGATGATGTGTTACCATTATACCCACCAGTAGCCACAGTATTGATGGCACCATCCTGTCTGATGATGTGTTACCATTATACCCACCAGTAGCCACAGTATTGATGGCACCATCCTGTCCAATGATGTGTTACCATTATACCCACCAGTAGCCACAGTATTGATGGCACCATCCTGTCTGATGATGTGTTACCATTATACCCACCAGTAGCCACAGTATTGATGGCACCATCCTGTCCAATGATGTGTTACCATTATACCCACCAGTAGCCACAGTATTGATGGCACCATCCTGTCTGATGATGTGTTACCATTATACCCACCAGTAGCCACAGTATTGATGGCACCATCCTGTCCAATGATGTGTTACCATTATACCCACCAGTAGCCACAGTATTGATGGCACCATCCTGTCTGATGATGTGTTACCATTATACCCACCAGTAGCCACAGTATTGATGGCACCATCCTGTCCAATGATGTGTTACCATTATACCCACCAGTAGCCACAGTATTGATGGCACCATCCTGTCTGATGATGTGTTACCATTATACCCACCAGTAGCCACAGTATTGATGGCACCATCCTGTCCAATGATGTGTTACCATTATACCCACCAGTAGCCACAGTATTGATGGCACCATCCTGTCTGATGATGTGTTACCATTATACCCACCAGTAGCCACAGTATTGATGGCACCATCCTGTCCAATGATGTGTTACCATTATACCCACCAGTAGCCACAGTATTGATGGCACCATCCTGTCTGATGATGTGTTACCATTATACCCACCAGTAGCCACAGTATTGATGGCACCATCCTGTCCAATGATGTGTTACCATTATACCCACCAGTAGCCACAGTATTGATGGCACCATCCTGTCTGATGATGTGTTACCATTATACCCACCAGTAGCCACAGTATTGATGGCACCATCCTGTCCAATGATGTGTTACCATTATACCCACCAGTAGCCACAGTATTGATGGCACCATCCTGTCTGATGATGTGTTACCATTATACCCACCAGTAGCCACAGTATTGATGGCACCATCCTGTCTGATGATGTGTTACCATTATACCCACCAGTAGCCACAGTATTGATGGCACCATCCTGTCTGATGATGTGTTACCATTATACCCACCAGTAGCCACAGTATTGATGGCACCATCCTGTCTGATGATGTGTTACCATTATACCCACCAGTAGCCACAGTATTGATGGCACCATCCTGTCTGATGATGTGTTACCATTATACCCACCAGTAGCCACAGTATTGATGGCACCATCCTGTCTGATGATGTGTTACCATTATACCCACCAGTAGCCACAGTATTGATGGCACCATCCTGTCTGATGATGTGTTACCATTATACCCACCAGTAGCCACAGTATTGATGGCACCATCCTGTCTGATGATGTGTTACCATTATACCCACCAGTAGCCACAGTATTGATGGCACCATCCTGTCTGATGATGTGTTACCATTATACCCACCAGTAGCCACAGTATTGATGGCACCATCCTGTCTGATGATGTGTTACCATTATACCCACCAGTAGCCACAGTATTGATGGCACCATCCTGTCTGATGATGTGTTACCATTATACCCACCAGTAGCCACAGTATTGATGGCACCATCCTGTCTGATGATGTGTTACCATTATACCCACCAGTAGCCACAGTATTGATGGCACCATCCTGTCTGATGATGTGTTACCATTATACCCACCAGTAGCCACAGTATTGATGGCACCATCCTGTCTGATGATGTGTTACCATTATACCCACCAGTAGCCACAGTATTGATGGCACCATCCTGTCTGATGATGTGTTACCATTATACCCACCAGTAGCCACAGTATTGATGGCACCATCCTGTCTGATGATGTGTTACCATTATACCCACCAGTAGCCACAGTATTGATGGCACCATCCTGTCTGATGATGTGTTACCATTATACCCACCAGTAGCCACAGTATTGATGGCACCATCCTGTCTGATGATGTGTTACCATTATACCCACCAGTAGCCACAGTATTGATGGCACCATCCTGTCTGATGATGTGTTACCATTATACCCACCAGTAGCCACAGTATTGATGGCACCATCCTGTCTGATGATGTGTTACCATTATACCCACCAGTAGCCACAGTATTGATGGCACCATCCTGTCTGATGATGTGTTACCATTATACCCACCAGTAGCCACAGTATTGATGGCACCATCCTGTCTGATGATGTGTTACCATTATACCCACCAGTAGCCACAGTATTGATGGCACCATCCTGTCTGATGATGTGTTACCATTATACCCACCAGTAGCCACAGTATTGATGGCACCATCCTGTCTGATGATGTGTTACCATTATACCCACCAGTAGCCACAGTATTGATGGCACCATCCTGTCTGATGATGTGTTACCATTATACCCACCAGTAGCCACAGTATTGATGGCACCATCCTGTCTGATGATGTGTTACCATTATACCCACCAGTAGCCACAGTATTGATGGCACCATCCTGTCTGATGATGTGTTACCATTATACCCACCAGTAGCCACAGTATTGATGGCACCATCCTGTCTGATGATGTGTTACCATTATACCCACCAGTAGCCACAGTATTGATGGCACCATCCTGTCTGATGATGTGTTACCATTATACCCACCAGTAGCCACAGTATTGATGGCACCATCCTGTCTGATGATGTGTTACCATTATACCCACCAGTAGCCACAGTATTGATGGCACCATCCTGTCTGATGATGTGTTACCATTATACCCACCAGTAGCCACAGTATTGATGGCACCATCCTGTCTGATGATGTGTTACCGTTATACCCACCAGCAGCCACAGTATTGATGGCACCATCCTGTCTGATGATGTGTTACCATTATACCCACCAGCAGCCACAATATTGATGGCACCATCCTGTCTGATGATGTGTTACCGTTATACCCACCAGCAGCCACAGTATTGATGGCACCATCCTGTACAATGATGTGTTACCGTTATACCCACCAGCAGCCACAGTATTGATGGCACCATCCTGTCCAATGATGTGTTCCTTCAGTCGCTGCTCCAGAGGAAACTGTCTTCTCTCTTCTGCTGCTTTCTGTTCTTGTATGACTTTAAACTGTGGGAAACAAAACAGTACAGATAATCATTATAAAAGGTAAAGTGAAAATAACAGTCCATCATAAAGAATTGTCACAGAAATTCTATGCCAAATTAATCTGCTTAAAATCTTTATAGGTGCTGCCTGTATACAATACATTTATATGTTATAAAAGTTTATCATATTTTAATAACACACCATTTACAATAAAAAAAATAACAAAGAAACAATCAGTTTGTGACAATACAAAGCATTATTTGATTGTGATGTCATTTGTAATTGGCCTAACACAGAGATGTTTGATTGGACACTGTTATTTGTCAATCCAGCCATTCAAAATGTGTGCTTGTAAGTTAGGGATGTATCTAATAGAAAAAGTTTTGTTCTTGATCAATATTACTTATATTTTAAACCTTTCATCCAACGTTAATAATTTGTTATAGAATCATTTCAAAATGATCAATAATGTTACAACAAGTAGTTTTGAAGTGTTTAAAGTAAAAAGTATTAAACGTGTCTTGTATGCCACAAGCCAATGATAATTGGTGTTAGGAATATTCTTATCATAAACATTTCATATTGACCTTGATCAACATTGAGATAATTCTACATCAAAATATCAAGACAGCTATAGATCAAATTCCAGGTCAATGAAGAAATGAACACCTGACATCATTGATCACATGATGTAAGATTGATTTCTTATTACAGTACTATCTATATCACTTCTTTTATACTAATGACTGTAACATTACGATACCGTTAGCTACAAGTGTTAAGATAGTTCTTAGGAATATGCTCAAAGTTATTTGAAAGTGAAAGTAGAACTTACATACTGATCATTACGACGGCAAAACAAAATCTTCTCAAATTTTTTCAACACGCTGATATAAATAACAATGAACAAATTATTTCAATTATTACTTTATCAGTTTGTATTTATATTTTTCCATGTTTCCACTGATTAATATGGGGCATCTCACTTCCGGTTCAGACAACATAAAAACGATCGAAAACAGCTTGATCGGTTATTATGATATATCTGTTATTATGATATTTTTCTCTGGCAAATAGAATATCATAATAAGCGGGTTCCACTGTATAACTTTGTTTTATATGGCTACATATTTGAGGCCAAGGTGAAGAAAATAACCTTTTCTGTTGCCTCCTGGATCGCCTTCTTCATCAAACTGCTCTTGGCATATTCAACAGGAGTATGGCCATTTGCATTTTCCAATGTTGGATCAGCACCTTAACATTAAGAATAAAAATAATATATATTGAAATAATAAACAGTAAAGCTTGTTTAATTCAAAAGTGTTAGGTCCAGGAAACATGTAGGAGTTCGATCAGGATCTCAAGTTTTGCTAGAATGATACTTGCTTATTTTTATTGGATTTTAATTTCGCAAAATTTCAAAAGTCCCAAGGATTTATGAATTAAAGGCAATAGATATTTCCTTTAGTTACAAATAACAATGAAGGATCAAATTTGTTTTTCTTTATGCGACTACCCAAAAAAATATGAAAATGATAAGGAAGATCATACATGTAGTATAAATGAACATATTCAAGAAGTATGAATGAAATTAATTAATGTAAAAACAATTATTTTTTTACTTCATAGGTATTTTGTGAAGTTTAAACCTCATTATTCACATCTGAATACAAATTTTCAAACTTCTTTTCATGTACTCAAGAGAATAAGGAACTTGTCTATACAATGACAAGAGTCCTACAAGTCAGGACTGAATAAATTGTTTGTATTATATTAGGATGGGCAAGTTATTCATCTGTGTTTTAGTTAAAACATTCATCATATAAACTGATTTAAATGTAAACTTCAGAGAGTACAGGTGATAGAAGCATTGATACCTACCTCAGGGAGTACAGGTGATAGAAACATTGATACCTACCTCAGGGAGTAAAGGTGATAGAAACATAGATACGTACCTCAGGGAGTAAAGGTGATACATTAATACCTACCTCAGGGAGTAAAGGTGATAGAAAAATTGATACCTCCCTCAGGGAGTAAAGGTGATCCATTGATACCTACGTCAGGGAGTAAAGGTGATAGAAACATTAATACCTACCTCAGGGAGTAAAGGTGATACATTAATACCTACCTCAGGGAGTAAAGGCGATAGAAACATTGATACCTACCTCAGGGAGTGAAGGTGATAGAAACATAGATACCTACCTCAGGGAGTAAAGGTGATACATTGATACCTACCTCAGGGAGTAAAGGTGATAGAAACATTAATATCTACCTGCTTGTAGGAGCTCCTTGACAATGTCAACGTCGTCAACGAGGACAGCATAGTGGAGGGGTGTACAGTCCTTGAAGTAGGCCCTCTGGTGGAGCCGGTCACTGAACTCTTGTTCTCGTATCATCAACACTGCAACACAATTCAGTAATCACCAAGTCGATAAATAACTGAATCATAACCACTGTCATACTAGTTGTTCTCTACAGCTACTTGTTACCAGGGTTCTCATGATGAAACAATGCTTAATTACTACATGTATTCTGATAAAATATAACTGCAAGTTAGCAATATTAACAGATGCTATTCCTCTAGGTTCTCCAAGAACTTCATTTATGTTTTCTTTGAATTCAAATATAACTGCTTCAAAAGTTAACAACATCAAACCAATCAAAAAAAAAATTATTTCTATAGAATGAATCTGCTTCTATCGGCAGTCACAACGCCTCATCCCACAAAAGCAATATTATACAATATAATATCAATAATAATGTATTCTATACTGAATGGTCAATGGAACAATGGGTCAGTTATCCTGTTTCCCCAACAATGACTACTATCTCTCAACCCTTCATTTATCTCTGTGACCAACAAATTTCAGCAAAAAAATGTATAGCAAGATTTTTCACAAACAGTCTATTAAGACTGACAACATATTATTTTCAGTTTCAGTATTCCAATGTACATTCCGTAATGTATATTACTAGAATTGTAGATGTGATTTTTTTTCACATATTCCTTGATGAACAATTTTGAAGTTTCATAGTTCAGGCCATTAACAGGAAATTTCAACATCAAACACAAACAAAATTCCTTTTCTGATTTTATAGTTTCCATTTTTAATTATTGACAAAAAAGTAAACAATTATGTATGTTCATTCAATGTTACTCTTAGTCTAGGACCTCAGCTGATTCAAGATAATAAAATCAATCTCAACTTCTCCGACTCCAGGCAGTAGAGCAGCTAATGTGGTGTTCTTGTGAAAAAAGAAGATTTTTTAAAAATTTATGATATTATAATAATTTCACTAAAACATTTCTATCAGATACTTGGAACAGGGCGAGCATCTTGCTGTGATCACCACCTACCATGCATTGTGTTGAACCGCCTCTCCCTGGCTATTGTAACGTGGTTGGTATATTCATCACGTGCGCTAGGGTCTGCCCCAGCCTTCAGTAGTAACTTTACAATTCTAAATTTCAAAACAAGAAAATTATATCAAGATATATTCACATGATATGAAACATATTTTTGAAGATTGTAATGATATTAAATATTCCTCAACATCATGTAAATGCTTTGATCATAACTCAACTGATATACAAAGCAGGTCTCTGAAAGTTGATCTTTCCATAGTATTACATTGAGCAACAATTACCAGTACATATATAGAGGATCTGTCATAAGTTTCCCTTCATATCATAAATCTAATATGAATTAAGGGAAACGAATGACAGATTCATTTTTTCATATTTTACAAAGTAAACTGTATAATTGTGATCTGAAACGAATATTTTGCACTTGGCCGCCTATGAAACGATGAAAATGGCGTCCGCTTCACAATGATGTGACGTCACATTGATTGTTCCTATTTGATTGTGACGTCATTTCTGGAGTGATTTCTGGAGTATGACAGAAGTATATTGTAAGGAGCATTCCACAAAAGTTGAAAATACTACCACAATTTTTATATATGTAGGCAGCTGTAGAAACTGACTTTCAATTTTCAGTGACTTTGTCTTTTTAACCTTCAATGAAATCTCTAAATAGTTTGTTGTGCAAAGGGGTCCTGTAACATCTAGACAAGTTAACTGGGTAACAAAAGGCCTGTATAAAGTTTAAAGTTAACTGGGTAACAAAAGGCCTGTATAAAGTTTAAAGTTAACTGGGTAACAAAAGGCCTGTATAAAGTTTTAAGTTAACTGGGTAACAAAAGGCCTGTATAAAGTTTTAAGTTAACTGGGTAAAAAAAGGCCTGTATAAAGTTTTAAGTTAACTGGGTAAAAAAGGCCTGTATAAAGTTTAAAGTTAACTGGGTGAAAAAGGCCTGTATAAAGTTTAAAGTTAACTGGGTAAAAAAGGCCTGTATAAAGTTTTAAGTTAACTGGGTGAAAAAGGCCTGTATAAAGTTTAAAGTTAACTGGGTAAAAAAAGGCCTGTATAAAGTTTTAAGTTAACTGGGTAAAAAAAGGCCTGTATAAAGTTTTAAGTTAACTGGGTAAAAAAGGCCTGTATAAAGTTTAAAGTTAACTGGGTGAAAAAGGCCTGTATAAAGTTTAAAGTTAACTGGGTAAAAAAGGCCTGTATAAAGTTTTAAGTTAACTGGGTGAAAAAGGCCTGTATAAAGTTTAAAGTTAACTGGGTAAAAAAAGGCCTGTATAAAGTTTTAAGTTAACTGGGTAAAAAAAGGCCTGTATAAAGTTTTAAGTTAACTGGGTAAAAAAGGCCTGTATAAAGTTTAAAGTTAACTGGGTGAAAAAGGCCTGTATAAAGTTTAAAGTTAACTGGGTAAAAAAGGCCTGTATAAAGTTTTAAGTTAACTGGGTGAAAAAGGCCTGTATAAAGTTTAAAGTTAACTGGGTAAAAAAAGGCCTGTATAAAGTTTTAAGTTAACTGAACTGACCAAAGTAATTCAATTAAGTTTGAAAAAAAGTGGGTTTTCTATTCATCTTAGTAGTGGCTTTGAACTTAAAGTATCCGACATGGAAGTTTGAGTTTGATTGGTTCAAGGGAGCTAAGGTTTTGAGTGGGGACAAATCTTCTGGTGAGGTGCTAATTCATGACATGAGCTGACTTCAACCTTTTGGTCTGTTGAGCCAAACAATGCTCCATCCTATTGAAGGAGATATCATCGTATAAATAAATCTCACCTGAGATTTCCATTTATAACAGCTACGTGGAGTGCTGTCCATCCAAGTTCATGCCTCTGATTTACATCAACACCTGTTTTCAATAACCTGGAAATGAGTAGCAAAGAAAACAAATGAGAAAGTAACATCAGTAACATCATTTAGTGACATCATCAGAAACATCATCAGTAACATAGTAACATCATCAGTAACATCATCAGTAACATAGTAACATCATCAGTAACATAGTAACATCATTAGTCATATCATCAGTAACATAGTACCATCATTAGTCACATCATCAGTAACATAGTAACATCATCAGTAACATAGTAACATCATTAGTAACATAGTAACATCATCAGTAACATAGTAACATCATCAGTAACATAGTAACATCATCAGTAACATAGTAACATCATCAGTAACATAGTAACATCATCAGTAACATAGTAACATCATCAGTAACATCGTAACATCATCAGTAACATCATTAGTCACATCATCAGTAACATAGTAACATCATCAGTAACATAGTAACATCATCAGTAACATAGTAACATCATCAGTAACATAGTAACATCATCAGTAACATAGTAACATCATCAGTAACATCATTAGTCACATCATCAGTAACATAGTAACATCATCAGTAACATAGTAACATCATCAGTAACATAGTAACATCATTAGTAACATCATCAGTAACATAGTAACATCATCAGTAACATAGTAACATCATCAGTAACATCATTAGTCACATCATCAGTAACATAGTAACATCATCAGTAACATAGTAACATCATCAGTAACATAGTAACATCATTAGTAACATCATCAGTCACATCATCAGTAACATAGTAACATCATCAGTAACATAGTAACATCATCAGTAACATCATAAGTCACATCATCAGTAACATAGTAACATCATCAGTAACATAGTAACATCATCAGTAACATAGTAACATCATCAGTAACATCATTAGTCACATCATCAGTAACATAGTAACATCATCAGTAACATAGTAACATCATCAGTAACATAGTAACATCATCAGTAACATCATTAGTCACATCATCAGTAACATAGTAACATCATCAGTAACATAGTAACATCATCAGTAACATAGTAACATCATCAGTAACATAGTAACATCATCAGTAACATCATTAGTCACATCATCAGTAACATAGTAACATCATCAGTAACATAGTAACATCATCAGTAACATAGTAACATCATCAGTAACATCATTAGTCACATCATCAGTAACATAGTAACATCATCAGTAACATAGTAACATCATCAGTAACATAGTAACATCATCAGTAACATCATTAGTCACATCATCAGTAACATAGTAACATCATCAGTAACATAGTAACATCATCAGTAACATAGTAACATCATCAGTAACATAGTAACATCATCAGTAACATCATTAGTCACATCATCAGTAACATAGTAACATCATCAGTAACATAGTAACATCATCAGTAACATAGTAACATCATTAGTAACATCATCAGTAACATCATCAGTAACATAGTAACATCATCAGTAACATAGTAACATCATCAGTAACATCATTAGTCACATCATCAGTAACATAGTAACATCATCAGTAACATAGTAACATCATCAGTAACATAGTAACATCATTAGTAACATCATCAGTAACATAGTAACATCATCAGTAACATAGTAACATCATCAGTAACATAGTAACATCATCAGTAACATCATAAGTCACATCATCAGTAACATAGTAACATCATCAGTAACATAGTAACATCATCAGTAACATAGTAACATCATCAGTAACATAGTAACATCATCAGTAACATCATTAGTCACATCATCAGTAACATAGTAACATCATCAGTAACATAGTAACATCATCAGTAACATAGTAACATCATCAGTAACATAGTAACATCATCAGTAACATCATTAGTCACATCATCAGTAACATAGTAACATCATCAGTAACATAGTAACATCATCAGTAACATAGTAACATCATCAGTAACATAGTAACATCATCAGTAACATAGTAACATCATCAGTAACATAGTAACATCATCAGAAACATCAATGTTCCTTCTGTAATTTTACACGATAAACAAGTATAGAGCTACACTTTTCACCAAATTTGTTTTCTTGTTCACAGATGTATATTTTAATATACAATGTAAATTGAAATTAATGAAATAAATACATTGAACATTTAATAGTCCTTTTGTAAGAGGGAGCAGAAACTGAAATATTTTCTTCAATTTATCCTTAGTATGAATTACCAGTTGTTTCTCTAAAAAAGTTTTATTTTCATGATACATGTTATTTGTTACCTTTCAATTTCTCTTACATTTCCTTGTTTTACAGCCAGGAGGAACTTTTCTGGAAATTAGAAAGAAAAAATCATTCAGAACTCAATGACACTTAGACTATGACAATGACACCTAGAACTGTAACAAAACACCTTAATTATATGCCTGAATACAATACTAACTTTTTATATTGATCAAATCAATAAATTCACAAGCTTAGAACTTGACATAGATGAAATACAGTTTATTCGTGGCACATGCACACAAAAAACAAGCCATATATCATCACTTCAAATATTTAGTAACTTTGTGAGAATTTTAAATTTCTTTTGACCTCTACAACCTAGAAAACCTGTATTAGGTCATTCATTTGAACAATCCAATAGCATAGCTTAAATATCATTGCTGTATAGGCACCTTTTAGTTTAATGCTCTTTTTGCAGAAATGTAAATGTAAATCATGACTGCCTATCGACTGTTTTGAGTGTGAGAGTTGTTATGTCTGTTATTAGCCTTGTCGTTCTATCATTTGTACATAAATCATCATTATTCGTTGTTAATAAACATAATAGGAAGTATTCATTGGTGTCGTCTTGTATATATATATAAGTTACACACGCTGGGTTGGTGCTTTGAAAAAAGGGAGGAATAGTGTAAAAGATGTGCATTGATTAGGTTGCCTTACAAGCGTCAGCTGAAGGGAATTTCCCTTTGGCTCAGCGGTAGAGCATCGGGCTGGAGAATCAAGGGTAGCGGGTTCGACTACACTATATCTTTACCACTAATGACTTCCTCGTCCTATTACACATTTATATAGGAAAATGAAAGTAAATGTATAGTGCATCCAACCATAACCTAGAGTATAACGGAATCTCGCAAATAAGAGACAGTCTTGAAAAGTCGAAGGATTTCACGACCTGGTGTTCCTTGTGGACAATACACCCGTTAATCGTTAATGAGGAATGAGCTGACGCAATAATATAACGAGGTTTCGATAGCAGTCAATACTCACTAACAGACATTCAATTCTGCCTGCATTTCTCATAAACCCAGTATAACACCTATCACGACTTACGATTGTTGTCATTCGAGCCGTCATCACAAAATGCAATGGATAGAAGTGAGACTGTTGGCAATACTGATCCAAATGCGAATTTCATATGCCCAGCTCGAGACCATGTTATTGGAAATCCTGCAGCTATTAGCCAACCCTTGTTGTAGTTGACGTGTTTATCTGGTACCAATTTAGAAACACTATTTTTCAAATATAACCGATAGTTGTTAATGGCTTTTGAATTAACACGAAATTTAAGAACAGACAATGTCCGAAAAAGCTGTCTGCAAAAATTCGAGGACGCCATGCCGGCAGATGTCACGTTCACTTACGGTTGCCGCAAAATTGTTGTTTTTCATTGTCACATTGTTATATTTACCGATGTATCAATCAACCCATTGGTAGTTTATAATGTTTGAATATTATTGTAACATATAATTTAATTATGACTAAAATTGACTGTAGGTTATGTCGTAAAATGTGAGACGACCTATTGATGGCACATTATTTCCTCCTACAACACTGATCAGCTGTTCAACCATCAAGGTATGACATAGGAGATAAAGGCTAGTTATCTGGCAGGTACACCTGTGTCACTAGATACATATATATATACTCTTACATAAAAGAAGCATAGATTGCACATGTCAATGTACTTAAGGTATATGTAATTGTCGACTAAATGTTTAAACAGAAATAGTTATGAAAACTGGACAAAGAAAATGTTATTGTTTTATACAGGTATTGCCATCTGTCACTGTTAGACCATTGTCTTGATTAGAATGACAACCTTATCAGAAAATACTGACATACTTAAAAACATATAAAATCTTGACACAAATTACATTTCGCATGTCTATAGATTGTATATGATACATGCCAGCCAGTCCCCCACCCCCTATGAAAAATAAAATACTTGTCGGTGTATACCTGGAAACATCCTTTTTTGATTGCTATTTATATTTAAGATGAGCAATAACTTCCTTACGCAGTAACCTTAACAGTAACCTTAACAGTAACCTTAACAGTAACCTTAACAGTAACCTTCATGTTTCAATTTTCCCCATTAGCGTTATATAACAAAGATGATATTAAGTTTTGCATTTTGCACAGGCTAAATGCTGCAATAGATAAAAATAATAAGAATTCGAGGTTCTTATATACACAATTAATTTATTCAGAGGTACTGTATTTAACCAGAACAAATTTTAGGTAGGGATTACAATCGTATGAAACATGAACAGTCTTGCTGATTGGCTGATTTAGTTGTGCGAGTCCTTTAATTCACCCAAACATATATACTTATTAAGCTCACACTAATAAACTTTATAATTATTGTCTTTCAACAAGTTAAAAAGCTAGATTAGTATGACTGGAAAAAGTAGAGTAGGTGTCGGGCTGTAACACGATCGAGCGTCTGACATTATATAGGAATGTTCTTTGTTGTGTTACTGTATAATCAGCATTCTGCTATTTGTTGTAGGAAACTAAAGATCTGAGACAAGATTATACTTGTTTGTGATCGTGACCAGCAATGATTTTTGTTGACACAAATGTGTACTAGCTACCAATCTGATTCAGAAAGTAAGATATTATTGCGTTGTTATCACAATCCACAGCTGATAGTTATAAATACAAGGGCATTTTTTTTATCATGTATATCAGGATGATTGATTACTTGACAGAATAAGATATACTCAGTGAGAAAAACCCTGTATGTGAAACAGAAAGTTGTAACAGATTGTAAAAAGCGGTCATCCAAGGTCACTAATGATAAAATTCTGACCTGCAAGTGACCTTATAGAATTGGACAGTTGACTTGATTTCTACAGTATAATAAATCCTCATAATATACCACAGTTCTTTCCCTACCTTAAGATTTTTTTTAAATGTTCGGTTAAATAAGTTCACTCTTAATGTGATATATATCTAGTTTGAGGCTTTTTATCATTATCAAGTAAATTAAAGCTGTCAATACTTTTTTTTACCTTTATCATGTCTGACCCAGTGATACATATTGGCAAGTCATCTTTCAGAGATTGGTTAGCATACAACCAAAGTATAATCGTGAGTACTTTATTACCAGGTAGGTTCCAACATGAAAACGTGGCTCGTTTGAATCAGACTGAACATATTGTTTTGAGAAATAACATTTGTGTTAGAGTTATCTTGGTGACATTGGAATTTAACATTTAATCGGTCAGATATAGAGTTGGCGCAGAGTTTTAACTCAGTAGGGTATAAAGCTGACCAGGATTTTTACCTTGATAACACAGTGATGTGTATTTAAACCTGTATACTTATATACAGGGCAGTTATATTGTTGTATGTACAGGATAGTAGTGTCACAGCTCTAGATCTGTCAGTGACGATTTCAACAGGTGAGAAACACAGGTATGACAATCAGGTAGTTACATATTGTGTACATGTATTAGTTGTGAATCTGTTGGGGTTGAAATAATTGTATAGCAACAATGTGTTAAATGACTATCGTGCCAGTGTTTGATTTTTTAGAAGTAAGTCTGGTTTAGATACAACGTGTACCACCATGTACCACAATGTACATGTACAGTTAACCCTCAATATAATGCCACTTGTTTCATTTGAAACCTCGTTTACTGACAACATATTTCAATGTCCCTTTTTCTTGTTTTCTTACAAATTCCTCTATGCATTTCCCTCAATTTATTGCCAAACCCCTTTATAATGCCAAGTCTTCTCTGGGCAAATGGTGGCAGTATAACGAGGTTTTACTGTATAATTGTAAATGATTACCCTGTAACCCTTTACTAAGACTTCAGATCTTACTTATTGGCCCTACACTAATTATTTGTTTGGTCCATGTTACAGATGAGGCTGGTAATTCTTGACAAGTATGATGATGTTAGTGAGTGGGCAGCCAAGTACATCAGAAGGAGAATCCTGGCTTTTAATCCAGGACCTGACAGATACTTCACTCTTGGGCTCCCCACAGGTAAACATCAGCAGGGCTCCCCACAGATAAACATCAGCAGGGCTCCCCACAGGTAAACATCAGCAAGGCTCCACACAGGTAAACATCAGCAAGGCTCCCCACAGGAAAACATCAGCAAGGCTCCCCACAGGTAAACATCCGCAAGGCTCCCCACAGGTAAACATCAGCAAGGCTCCACACAGGTAAACATCAGCAAGACTCCCCACAGGAAAACATCAGCAAGGCTCCCCACAGGTAAACATCAGCAGGGCTCCCCACAGATAACCATCAGCAGGGCTCCCCACAGGTAAACATCAGCAAGGCTCCACACAGGTAAACATCAGCAAGGCTCCCCACAGGTAAACATCAGCAGGACTCCCCACAGTAAAACCTCAGCAAGGCTCCCCCCAGGTAAACATCAGCAGGGCTCCCCACAGATAAACATCAGCAGGGCTCCCCACAGGCAAACATCAGCAAGGCTCCCCACAGGCAAACATCAGCAAGACTCCCCACAGGTAAACATCAGCAAGGCTCCCCCCAGGTAAACATCAGCAGGGCTCCCCACAGATAAACATCAGCAGGGCTCCCCACAGGTACACATCAGCAAGGCTCCCCACAGGTAAACATCCGCAAGGCTCCCCACAGGTAAACATCAGCAAGACTCCCCACAGGAAAACATCAGCAAGGCTCCCCACAGGTAAACATCAGCAGGGCTCGCATTAACGATCGCTAAGTCACCAAATGGCGACACTTTTTCAGATTTAGCGACAAAAAATTCAGTTTGGCTATATTTTTGGTGACACAATTTTTACCAACGCTTAAATGTTAAAAAATTGGTAATTTGTGGTCATGACTGCTGATTTGGCCACAAACACTAGCTGGGTACAGGTAACATTGTTAGTTGACCGGAAGACATAACCACCAACGCTGTCTGGTTCAGTACCTTCAGATAATCTTCCTACAAAAGATTTACAATATCATATTGTTGAACAATCAACTCTGAGCTTAACTCTGTCTCTTCACTCTAATGTTTCAACAGTTAAACATAACACTTTGAGCTTCTAAACTATTCACTCTGAGGTTCCAATTAACTTTTCCCATATTTAAATATTTCATTTTTGGTTTCCCACCCTTACACATGTAGATCTGCAGACTTTCCTACATTTAATAACTGCAAGTGCTTTCTACATATACAATTCAACATTCAGAAATTTTTGTTTTAAAATGCCAGATGGCAAACAAATAACAGTTTACCTTAACCACTTATGAAGAAAGTTGATAAATGTACATTTCGTTGTTGTTCAGGGAGCACACCTTTGGGTACATACAAGAAACTCATCGAGTATGTCAAAGCTGGCAAGCTGTCCTTCAAGTATGTCAAAACATTCAATATGGACGAATATGTAGGTATGTATATCAGAAATAGATGGTAGTTTATACTATCTATTACATCAAATATTTGAACCATGAAATATACCATGATGATGTAAGGCACTCCCCTAAAAGTAAGTTATAGCCATGTAAAATGAAGTGGTGGTGGTGGGGAAGTATTCTCAAAGTGGGGATTTAAAATTGTACAAACCAGGTTTGAGGGGTATGAGGGGCTGAGGGTGTGAGGGACTGAGGGGTGTGAGGGGGTTAGATACTGAGGGGTGTGAGGGACTGAGGGGTGTGAGGTATTGAGGGGTATGAGGAGTGTGAGGGGGTTAGGTACTGAGGGGTGTGAGGGACTGAGGGGGTTAGGTACTGAGGGGTGTGAGGGGTTGAGGGGGTTAGGTACTGAGGGGTGTGAGGGACTGAGGGGTGTGAGGGACTGAGGGGTGTGAGGGACTGAGGGGTATGAGGGACTGAGGGGTGTTAGGGACTGAAGGGTGTGAGGGACTGAGGGATATGAGGGACTGAGGAGTGTGAGGGACTGAGGGGTTTGATGGTGTGAGGGACTGAGGGGTATGAGGGACTGAGGGGTGTGAGGGACTGAGGGGGATGAGGGACTGAGGGGTGTGAGGGACTGAGGGGTGTGGGGGACTGAGGGGGGTGAGGGACTGAGGGGTATGAGGGACTGAGGGGTGTGTGGGACTGAGGGGTGTGAGGGACTGAGGGGTGTGGGGGACTGAGGGGGGTGAGGGACTGAGGGGTATGAGGGACTGAGGGGGACTGAAGGGTGTGAGGGACTGAGGGATATGAGGGACTGAGGGGTGTGAGGGACTGAGGGGTTTGAGGGACTGAAGGGTGTGAGGGACTGAGGGACTGAGGGTTGTGAGGGACTGAGGGGTATGAGGGACTGAGGGTTGTGAGGGACTGAGGGGTGTGATGGTGTGAGGGACTGAGGGGTGTGAGGGACTGAGGTGTGTGAGGGACTGAGGGGTGTGAGGGACTGAGGGTTGTGAGGGACTGAGGGGGGTGAGGGTGTGAGGGACTGAGGGATGTTGGGGACTGAGAGATGTGAGGGACTGAGGGGTGTGAGGGTCTGAGGGGTGTGAGGGACTGAGGGATGTTGGGGACTGAGAGGTGTGAGGGACTGAGGGGTGTGAGGGACTGAGGTGTGTGAGGGACTGAGGGGTATGAGGGACTGAGGAGCGTGAGGGACTGAGGAGTGTGAGGGACTGAGGGGTATGAGGGTCTGAGAAGTGTGAGGGACTGAAGAGTGTGAGGGACTGAGGGGTGTGAGGGGCTGAGGGGTATGAGGGACTGAAGGGTGTGAGGGACTGAGGGACTGAGGGGGGTGAGGGACTGAGGGGTATGAGGGACTGAAGGGTGTGAGGGACTGAGGGGCTGAGGGGTGTGAGGGACTGAGGGGGGTGAGGGACTGAGGAGTGTGAGGGACTGAGGGGTATGAGGGTCTGAGAAGTGTGAGGGACTGAAGAGTGTGAGGGACTGAGGGGTGTGAGGGGCTGAGGGGTATGAGGGACTGAGGGGTGTGAGGGACTGAGTGGTGTGAGGGACTGAGGGGTGTGAGGGATTGAGGGATGTTGGGGACTGAGAGATGTGAGGGACTGAGGGGTGTGAGGGACTGAGGGATGTGAGGGACTGAGGGGTGTGAGGGACTGAGGGATGTGAGGGACTGAGGGGTGTGAGGGACTGAGGGATATGAGGGACTGAGGAGTGTGAGGGACTGAGGGGTATGAGGGTCTGAGAAGTGTGAGGGACTGAAGAGTGTGAGGGACTGAGGGGTATGAGGGACTGAGGGTTGTGAGGGACTGAGGGGTATGAGGGACTGAGGGTTGTGAGGGACTGAGGGGTATGAGGGACTGAGGGTTGTGAGGGACTGAGGGGTATGAGGGACTGAGGGGGGTGAGGGACTGAGGGGTGTGATGGTGTGAGGGACTGAGGGGTGTGAGGGACTGAGGGATGTTGGGGACTGAGGGATGTGAGGGACTGAGGGGTGTGAGGGACTGAGGGGTGGGAGGGACTGAGGGGTATGAGGGACTGAAGGGTGTGAGGGACTGAGGGACTGAGGGGTGTGAGGGACTGAGGGGTATGAGGGACTGGGGGGGTGAGGGACTGAGGGGTGTGAGGGACTGAGGGGTATATGGGACTGAGGGGTATGAGGGACTGAGGGGTGTGAGGGACTGAAGGATGTGCGGGACTGAACGGTTTGAGGGACTGAGGGGTGTGATGGTGTGAGGAACTGAGGGGTGTGAGGTACTGAGGGGTGTGAGGGACTGAGGGGTGGGAGGGACTGAGGGGTATGAGGGACTGAGGGGGGTGAGGGACTGAGGAGTGTGAGGGACTGAGGGGCGTGAGGGACTGAGGGATGTGAGGGACTGAGGGGTGGGAGGGACTGAGGGGTATATGGGACTGAGGGGTATGAGGGACTGAGGGGTGTGAAGGACTGAGGAGGGTGAGGGACTGAGGAGTGTGAGGGACTGAGGGGTATGAGGGACTGAGGAGTGTGAGGGACTGAGGGGTGTGAAGGACTGAGGAGTGTGAGGGACTGAGGGGTGTGAAGGACTGAGGAGGGTGAGGGACTGAGGAGTGTGAGGGACTGAGGGGCGTGAGGGACTGAGGGATGTGAGGGACTGAGGGGTGGGAGGGACTGAGGGGTATGAGGGACTTAGGGGTGTGAGGGACTGAGGAGTGTGAGGGACTGAGAGGTGTGAGGGACTGAGGGGTGTGAGGGGGTTAGGGACTGAGGGGTATGAGGGGTATGAGGGACTGAGGGGTATGAGGGACTGGGGGGGATGAGGGGCTGGGGGTGAGGGACTGAGGGGTGTGAGGGACTGAGGGGCATGAGGGACTGAGGGGTGTGAGGGACTGAGGGGTTTGAGGGTGTGAGGGACTGAGGGGTATGAGGGACTGAGGAGTGTAAGGAACTGAGGGGTGTGAGGTACTGAGGGGTGTGAGGGACTGAGGGGTGGGAGGGACTGAGGGGTATGAGGGACTTAGGGGTGTGAGGGACTGAGGAGTGTGAGGGACTGAGGGGCGTGAGGGACTGAGGGATGTGAGGGACTGAGGGGTGGGAGGGACTGAGGGGTGTGAGGGACTGAGGGGTGGGAGGGACTGAGGGGTATGAGGGACTGAGGGGTGTGAAGGACTGAGGAGTGTGAGGGAATGAGGGGTGTGAGGGACTGAGGAGTGTGAGGGACTGAGAGGTGTGAGGGACTGAGGGGTGTGAGGGGGTTAGGTACTGAGGGGTATGAGGGGTATGAGGGACTGAGGGGTATGAGGGACTGAGGGGTATGAGGGACTGAGGGGTGTGAGGGACTGAGGGGTGTGAGGGACTGAGGGGTATGAGGGACTGAGGGGTGTGAGAGACTGAGGGGTGTGAGGGACTGAAGGGTGTGAGGGACTGAGGAGTGTGAGGGAATGAGGGGTGCGAGGGACTGAGGGATGTGGCAAAAAGGATAATTTGACCATGTTGCTTTAGACCACCTCTCTGGAATTATGAGATTAAAAACTTGAAGGGCTGGCTCCCGTGGCTGTGAAGCAGAGCTATACCCAGGTTATACAGTAACTTGGAAATGGTTGAGATCCCCACACTATAAACAAACATATAATTTCTCGATAAAAAGAGACGAAAAAAAACATATTCTATCAGGATAGCCCCAGGTCTAGCCCTACCCCTCAAAATTTAGTCCCAGGGTCGTAACTTAAAATGGTTGAGATCCTATTCCACAACCATATATACCATTGCTGCGCAGAGGGACAAGCACAATTATGATTTCAAAATTGGCTCTGGGGTCTGACCACATCCCATGGGACTAAGTTCCTGGGTCACAACTTTGAAATGGTTGAACAAATATATATGATATAGCTACCAGAATTGGCACCAAGGTCTGGTCCCGTACTTTGTGACCTAGTCCCTTGGTCATTACATGGAAGCGCTTGCGATACCCATTCTAAAACAATATAAAACTGCTGAGCATGAATATTTGGATTTGCATATGCTACAAGGAATGGCCCAGAGTCTAGGATCTTGATGCAATAAAACATCTTATGATTTTGTAATGATTGCTTAAATATTCGAGTGAGCGATTCAGGTCTTCTGGGCCTGTTGTTATTCTAACAGCTGTCTATTTTCAGCAATACCCCGTGATCATCCTGAGAGCTACCATTCCTTCATGTGGAACAACTTTTTCAAGCACATTGACATTAACCCAGAGAATGCCCACATCCTAGACGGCAATGCAGTAGATGTTAAAAAGGAGTGTGATGATTACGAGGAGAAGATTACAGAGGCTGGAGGGATAGAGCTGTTTATAGGAGGTAGTAGCTAGTCTCTTGTATATTCATCGATGTGCAGCATAGAGGATCACTTCAAAAATTTGAGAGAGTAATATTAATAGCATGCTATACTATAGGGAATTTTATTTTACTTTCCTAAAAGGAATGTATGTGTAAAATTAATTCTCAGTAAGGCATTGTCTGCAATGCAACAAAAAAAGTTTTCATTCTATGAAAAAAATGTACAGAAAAAAGTGAAATATTATAAGCATTTATTAAATATTTATAGAGTGGATATTGAAAGACAAATTTTGGTTGCTATTTTCTAGATTATAAACTCCTGTTGCCAGTAATGATGCGATAGATATGACATATAGCTTCTGTTGTGCAGGTATTGGACCTGATGGTCACATTGCCTTTAACGAGCCGGGATCAAGCCTGGTGTCGAGGACAAGGATCAAGAGTCTAGCCCAGGACACCATTCTAGCTAACGCCCGTTTCTTTGGGGGTGACTTGTCCAAGGTGCCTCACCAGGCACTTACTGTAGGGGTTGGGACTGTTATGGATGCTAGAGAGGTACGCTTTAAAATTAATCCTTAAGAAATCAGTTTTCATTTCAAACTTATTTGAAATACATAAAATATTTATTAGTGAACATAAATACATGGTAAGTCTTAAAGATTTAAGATTTTACTCCTTTCATGTTAAATAATGTTTAATTAGAATCAATTTTGAAAAATTTGGGGCCAATCAGTATTTGAAGGTCATATATGGCATTAAAGTATGTCTAAACAGTTGATGTAGCTTGATTCAGTTTACTGTAAAAAAACATTCCCTTGAAATTTAAAGTAGGCTGGTATAAAGTACTGGTGTTGGTAGAGTATAAGGATATTTCCTAACTTGTAGGATCTAATGACATTGTTAGAGTATAATTACACAGGGTATTGTCTGTCCAGGTGATGATCCTAATTACTGGTGCCCACAAAGCGTATGCCCTCCACAAGGCCATTGAGGAGGGCGTGAGTCACATGTGGACTGTGTCCGCGTTTCAACAGCATCCTCACACCATCTTCCTGTGCGATGAGGATGCGACCCTTGAACTGAAGGTGAAGACAGTCAGATACTTCAAAGACATCATGAAAATACATAACGAAATGATCGAAGGCAGTGAAGAACAGGAAGGAGAAGGGCAGTAACTCCATTCACATGATTTTAGTTAAGGGTTTAAGCAATGACAATATGAGGTGAGGGAGAATTAAATAAAAGTTGACTGATATTTTTTCAAAAGCAGTATTTATACTTAACTTTGATCTTGTAAAAATTAAGGCACAATTAAGTTAGATGGTAAGAATCCCTACATATGATTGTAAATGATGGCAGAAAGAAACCATAATGAAAGTAAAGAGTCAATGTATAACCTGTATATATACATGTTTATATGACAAAAAAATCTGAATTATTATCACTTTAAAGGTCTACTTAGTTAAAATTAACGATATTTTAAGGTTGCTGTTATATCTGAAGTGTCCCTGATTCTGAAGGCTCGTTTCCTAGGTAACATTCCACTGATCTTACATTGACTGCCCCAGTCTTAAGTGATTTAGTACTGAAAAGGGGGAATACAGCAATACTTGCCATTATATATATCACTTCTGCTTCAAGAGTTTTGCAGACTTGAAAGCATCTTTCATATTTGAAGTAATCTTTCAAATATTTCTAAAATTGTCTCTCCAAAGGCTAGAAAGAAGAGTGGATGTGGATAAAACAGAGGGTATAGAGAATCTACACCTTGGTATATATATTGTTGTAGATTTATCTTGTCTATCAATGTATTGTGATTGTAGTATTCAGTTTTTCACATTATTTAACTGTGTGTTCTTCAATTGATATGATATAAACATTCCTATGTTTTGACCCTTTCACCCCTATGTAACTTCAGTAGACTCTTATCATGCATTGATATGAATGAGTCCATTATGGTCTACAGTGGTGAACGGGTTAAGTGTTCTATTTTTGTCTGTGCAAAATTTAACAATTTAAAGCTAGGAAGCAATCCTGTGCCTAAAACAGTATGTATACCCACAGCATTAGACCACTGAAATCAGTTCCCAAAGATTTATATACTGTAAAGTGGAACATTTCTTTATGTTGAAATTCTCACTTATCAATTTCTCAAAATATTCATTATGATTTTTTTTATAATGCATAATGTGTCAACATTTACATATTTTCTTGCCAATATGGTGAGCGCAAAGTTTCAAAGATGTGAAGTTTGTGGACGTCTCAACATTTTACCTTACATGTAGAAAAGTATATAATCCAAATCTAGATCTCATGTCAAATGATTTTTGGTGCATAGATTAAATAAGGAGTCTTTTAATAGTACATATACTTATGTCTACTACCTATATATAGCCACAATTATGTTATATATCTGGTAATCATGCAAGGATATACACAGAGAAATTTGATGCTATTTATAAACTTCAGGCCCCTTTGTTTGACTATAATCCTGGTTGAAACATTTACTTCAAACATTTGTTTTTCTGAAATAAAAAAAATCAGGACCAACAAGGCTCCATTATGTGTATTCCGATATAGATATAAAGTAAAGGTGTAATTTAACCTCATAAAGTTTATGGTGCACAACTGTATATATTTTTTTCCAAAGCCAGGCTTTGTATACACACAGTTGTCTGATCCTCCAATTCAGAATCTCCTGATATCAGTTTATTTTCTGTATATGTGTGGTCACAAAAATTTCTCACATTGTTCTGATCTCAATGGAAGCCTACGGGCTTGTAATGATGTATATATTCACTTCTGCCAGGTGGTGTTATGTCAATTATATCCATGAAATATATTGAACCGTTCATTTTTCTACCTTATCCATATACTGACTTTCATCTGCTTTCTGCCTAGTTCAAATTCAGAATATTGTAGGCTGTGGTGTAGCAATATATTTTTCACACAAATTAAATAATTTCATGTAAATTTTTATTGAGTTTTATAGAGATGTATACCAGAAGGGTATGGTTGATTGGTGTAGGTATTTAAACTTATTGAGTGTACTTTTTATAAAGTATATGAATGTAGTAAGATATATGTTATATATTTTAACAAAGATAAAGCGTTGAAAACAGGAGTGAGTTCAGGATATCATGTTACAGTTAGGGAGGACTGCAAAGTTTGATTAAAATAAAAAAAATCTGGTGAGAGGAAAGAAGAAAATTATGCCAAAATAATCCAAAATACTTGTAAAATGTATGTATATTCATGTAGCTTGGGTCATTTTTAGGGAGTGGTTGTGTATGTGTGCCCTTAATTAAGATCTGCTCCTGGAAACTTTGGTATTTATAGGACATATACTTAAGTATAAGATGTGTTTCCCCATTGCACATGTAAGAGTATTCAAACCCCATACCATAGTATGTATTTAACAGCAGCTGTAGTCAAATATTTAGTCCTGTGGAAATCCTTTAATGCTACTACTCTGCATACTGACAATAGTGTACATGAAAATATTCCATGGAGTTATTTAATATTTTTATCATTTTTAAGATACGAGGTATAATTATTGTGCTTAAATGTGCCATTCTTTAATATGTTGTAAATTTTATGTACATAAAATATTACCGTGGTATGTATATAAATATGCACATCAGGTATAAAATGAAATAGATGCTGATACAGAAAAAACATTGATACACATTTACCAGTAAGGTAAAGGGTACCAGTAAGTGAATTAGCTATATTAAAACCATTGTCAGTATTGTAAGATATTGGTTTAAGTCTTTTTCAAAAGAACTGTTTAATAAAAATAACATGTTGCAATATAATTTACAGATATATAGTTGTTTGAAATTCGAACGTTTGCAAAAAATATGAAGAGAAAACTGAAAATCTTCAGGGGTAGCACTCATGACCTTTAAATTGCAAATACTGATGTTACCATCCAGTAATTATAAATACACAGTGTCACAAAGAGTGGCCAGTTGAGGAAAAGAAACGATGAAAATTCAAAGATACATAACTTGATAGGAGATTCATCTTCTGCATGTATGTCAAAGGGAGATTACTCTAAGTCAAAAGGCATGGAACTCTTCTTTGCAATTATAACTGATCCAGCGGTACCCTTTACCTTATTATCAATACAGTCTTAAGGCTGTATGCTACCTTACATATTACACCTGTAATTGTTATTTTTTCAAATAGTATATAATATATTGGATTTACTTGTGTTATCAATATGTGTACATGTTTAGTGTGGAACTCTTGACAAAGGGAGGTGTATTTTCACTTTCAGGTAGCACACATCCTTAAGTCTTATGGAGTAAACAATTCAAAGGTTAACATGGTTTGGAGAAGATTGTTCTAGATAGGAGAAGTTGGAGTTCATTAAGCTTTGATGAAATACAATTCTATAAGGATACAGTTTTAACTTTTAAGATAGATAAAATGACATAAAACTACTAGTCTGAAGGATCAGAAAGAATATACATCCATTTGGATAAATCACATGCTAAAACTTCTACGCCAATCACATACATTTGTCACCGGTTATGTACACACACATATATAAATATGTATAATATTGATGTCATAAATTTTGGCGAAGGTAAAATGGTGTCCTCAAAAAAAATGATAAGTGTATGAAATGAGTCATATGATATCGGACCACTTTGTAATTTGTAATGCTCTGTCTTCAATAAAAGTTGTTAAAGATATCCTTAATGATTTCGAGCAAGTTCATATTTTACCACTTTGTACAATGGACAGAACTGCCAAGATGACACTCAAGTCTCGGTTATCAGTTATGGCATGAGCTCTACCTCCTAAATCTTTTAACTTATTTAGACTTTCATTTTATTTTAAGTGTGTATGATATGCATTGTTCCAGTTATAGTCAGTATGACATGTACTTAACTCGAGGTTTGGGCTGTGCACTGATTTCTTAAGGTGCTGTGTTATAAAGTTAGGAGCTATAATAAAAGTTTATTACCAACATTGGGTTTCTTTTTATTGATCATAAAAAAACTTTATGACTCATAGCTTGCCTCACTTACACAAGGTACATTATTATGTACTTGGGTTTTACCTTGAGCTACTATGTAGCAAAGAAATATGAGATGAGGTCAATAAAGTTAAACAACAGTGTCTTCTATTCTATAAAACAAGATGGTGACCTCCATCCTTTATGCCGGGTAACAAGGTGGTGACCTCCATCCTTTATGCCGGGTAACAAGGTGGTGACCTCCATCCTTTATGCCGGGTAACAAGGTGGTGACCTCCATCCTTTATGCCGGGTAACAAGGTGGTGACCTCCATCCTTTATGCCGGGTAACAAGGTGGTGACCTCCATCCTTTATGCCGGGTAACAAGGTGGTGACCTCCATCCTTTATGCCGGGTAACAAGGTGGTGACCTCCATCCTTTATGCCGGGTAACAAGGTGGTGACCTCCATCCTTTATGCCGGGTAACAAGGTGGTGACCTCCATCCTTTATGCCGGGTAACAAGGTGGTGACCTCCATCCTTTATGCCGGGTAACAAGGTGGTGACCTCCATCCTTTATGCCGGGTAACAAGGTGGTGACCTCCATCCTTTATGCCGGGTAACAAGGTGGTGACCTCCATCTCCATCTTTTAGTTTAAAAATGGTATTACATGTACTATAAATAACTAATGGGTTAGGCAAAAGTTTGCAAAATTTATTGAGATCCTTTCCCTTTTAAAGTTCTGAAGATGTATAAGGTCTAGACAAATAGAATTATGTAGTTTGTTTGTAGTTTCCTGGGAAGAAGGTTAATCAACTTTGCTCAAATGAATGACCTGGGAAAACTTTCATCCTGATCAAATGAATGATCTTGACAAACTTTCAAGGTCAAAGTCCCATCCTGATTACCAGTTGCACATATTTGCATGTGTATGTGAAGTAGGATGGCTCTATTTTAAATTCAAGAGTTATTGGCTATTACCTTGCCTCTACATTTAAGTCAATATACATAAATCCATAACCCTACCTTTACATTTCCTTTCAAATATTGAAAAAACATTTTTTCCAAAATTCTCCTTTAGCTCTTCATGGACAAAAAGGCCACAGGAGGCTGAACTTCATTTCAGTCAGATTGTCCATTTGCCTGTGGAGATGGGATGAAGTTGTTCAGTTAAATAGGAAAAAGGAGATTTTCAACTTCACCTGAAGATTTAACAATCAACCAATTGCACTGAAATTTGATGCAAAAGTTCTATAGACTGAGGGGAAGTGTAATTTCTATAGACTGAGGGGAAGTGTAAGTTCTATAGACTGAGGGGACGTGTAAGTTCTATAGACTGAGGGGAAGTGTAATGTCTATAGACTGAGGGGAAGAGTAAGTTCTATAGACTGAGGGGAAGTGTTATTTCTATAGACTGAGGGGAAGTGTAATTTATATAGACTGAGGGGAAGTGTAAGTTCTATATACTGAGGGGAAGTGTAATTTCTATAGACTAAGGGGAAGTGTAAGTTCTATAGACTGAGGGGAAGAGTAATTTCAATAGACTGAGGGGAAGTGTAAGTTCTATAGACTGAGGGGACGTGTAAGTTCTATAGACTGAGGGGAAGTGTTATTTCTATAGACTGAGGGTAAGTGTAATTTCTATAGACTGAGGGGAAGGGTAAGTTCTATAGACTGAGGGAAGTGTAATCTCTATAGACTGAGGGGAAGTGTAAGTTCTATATACTGAGGGGAAGTGTAATTTCTATAGACTAAGGGGAAGTGTAAGTTCTATAGACTGAGGGGAAGAGTAATTTCAATAGACTGAGGGGAAGTGTAAGTTCTATAGACTGAGGGGAAGTGTTATTTCTATAGACTGAGGGGAAGTGTAATTTCTATAGACTGAGGGGAAGTATAAGTTCTATAGACTGAGGGGAAGTGTAATTTCTATCGACTGAGGGGAAGCGTAATTTCAAAGCTGGGAGTTGGACCTCCCCTGTTTGATGAAGAGAGTCACAAAAGGGACACTTGGACAAGATAGGTTTTAGGAATCTCTTCATAAAAAACAAAGGGCATTTTATGACTCATCATGATATTAATGTCATTCTTGTCGGATCCTTCGTTTTGGATCTTTTGTGTTAAATGTTTCTTAAGTCGGGTGACTACTTACGGTATATGCCTCGTCTTTAGTTCTATTGATATCAGAGTAAGTTTGTTTGGCTTCTTATAAAGCAAGAACTAGGGGAGACAACCTAATTGTTCTAAGGACAACTGTCCTATATTTTCCAGAGCAAGAACATATTTATCTTAAATAAGTGTGGCAGATTCTAATTGTACATAGGATTACAGTCGCTTTCTAGCTTCACTCGAGAGGGAATTTCCCTTTAACTCAGTGGTAGAAGCTTCGGACTAGGATTAAAGTAAATGGGATTGCAGCTTTAAGCCAGGTGGAAGCACACTACGCTCTTTCCTGTTAATTAAGAATAAGTCTCTATTTCTTTAAAATACCTTAATATACATGTACTTCAAATAGTTTCAACCTTTGACTGGTTGAATGTGAATAAATTGATCAATAAGCTTAAAAAAGACTTTGGCATGTTATCTTTTAATTTGTTCAACACCAACAGCACAACAGTACACAAATGAGTACTAAAATCAGTAATGTACATACCGGGGTATGTATTCAAAGTAAACCTAATTACTGATAACAATAAAACCCATAGTTAAAGTAACAAGAAACAATTAAGTCATTTATAATTCCCTTCATTTACCATAGAAAGTTTCTTTTTCACAAACAATTTGAAAGACAAAAATCAATAACAATCTCAAAAAACAACAAATCATGAAGGTAGTCCATCAAAAATAATATAGACATGAAATATTTAAAGTACCCAGTAATTCATGACACATATCGGTAGGATCTTTGTAGTGACACAAGGTCAAAAATCCTAATAAATATATTGGTATAGCCCTGTTGTCACCTATCAGTAGTCATATTAATGCAATCTTTAGACAAACTGACAAAAGTTTAGTTGTTTTGCATCGATCAATCATAAACCCTAGGACGGTTTAGTCGATCACTCGAATGCTGCCAAGACTCCAGGAGTGATTGGAGTTCACGAGTCTTTGGGGGCGATGAAATCGTGGAATGTCCAGATAATTTCTGAACAAGACTATCTGGGGAACATCCTATTACAGACTGCTTACATATAATTACAGCACAGACAAAATCATCTGGTTGTCGTAAAATTTGCTGCTCCACATAAAAGGCCTTTTCATCCCAGAATATCACCTGCAAATCAATGAATAATACTTTGTTTTAGTGTGGCACATTTACATATTGAATATGTGTGACTGTCACATAGCTGGATTTAGAGTTACTCCATTTAACCTACATTAAATTAAGGGGGCTAACATAATCTCCAACTCAAAAGTAGTGGGATAATTATTAAAACACTTTAATTGTGTCTACATATGTTGATATTTTAATCACACTGACCTTGCTGACAATTTTGTATCTATTGAAGAGCTGTAGTGATTTGCGATAGCGGACACTTGCTGCAGCATTAGTCAACCTCACCATCCGTCCTATACCAATCTTCCCAATGATTCGATTTTCTATCCACAGCTTTGTACGCCCAAAGTCACACTCGCGCAAGTAGCGTGCATTGTTCATGTGAAATTGGAGATCAAGGTCATTCATCAGGACAATACCTGCAGAAGATAAAAATATTGCATACTTTGGAGTCCTAAACAGGAAAGAGAAAAAACATTTTGTGGTTGGATGTAAGGACACATGTAACAAACTGTCACAGTATAATGTTGATCCAAATGGTTGAAAATAACTTTAGACATACAATGTGTATTAGAAATTATTTTTTACTTGCACATTTATGATTATAATATTTTACTTGCACATTTCAAACACATATAGTTCTTTAGTTTCTAATAAGAAAACATCATAATCCATATCCAGATCCACATGTGTATGAAATAGAGAGACAAAAATTGCCATTGAAACTAATTTTTAAAACCCCCAAATAATACCGTTAAGTTGACAAAGCTTTTCCCCCACGATCATCATGAGTTACCTCCCATAAATCCCTCAAGTGATTGCGCAACCACCCGGCGACCGGTATATACCTTATCAAGTGACCTTTCCATGACAAATATAGGTCTTCATCAGTTCGATACCAAATTACAATTTATTTGACATTGTTTCTTGAATACTTTCTGGTTACAACGAGCTTTCTGTATGGTGAAGTCAGACTTTACAAAAAGTGCCAAACCTTCTATGACACTGCTTTCTAGCAGGTGCTTTGTCGAGGATCTTCGTCTGATAACGGACATGATTACAAGACAGATTTGACGCAGGTAGTAACTCGCGTCAAAGATTACAAACAACAAGAGAAAGCACACGACCATGTCCATCTTGTTAGTTTCTGTTCCACACAACAGTTAGACGGTGTAACAGGAAAAATGTGTTCGTTTGGTGTAATGGGTAAAATGTACCCTGAGATTAGTTCCAGACCGGGTGGTGGTTATTGAAAAACTAAATGACGTATAAGTGTCATCCTACAAGTTACAATACACATAGCATTATAACTTACTAAATTCAGTTTGACCGAGAATAGATAGTGCATGTCATTTTATGTACATATATTGAATGTAATCTCCATAAGTTATACAAATACAACTGTACATATGTGTATACCTAGATCTACAAAAAGACTAGGTAATTATAATTAAGATTCTGTAAATGCGGGAGCGCACCGGGAGAAATACGTCAAATTCAATCCTTACAGAGAGGCTGCACACGTTTAGCGCTCGCACATGGGTCTTTCGTCAAATTTAATCCTTATAGAGAGGCTGCACACGTTCAGCGCTCGCACATGGGTCTTCCGTCAAATGTAATCCTTACAGAGAGGCTGCACACGTTTAGCGCTCGCACATGGGTCTTCCGTCAAATTAATACTTACAGAGAGACTAGTACTGCACACGTTTAACTTAACATATTTTCATCAACCTTTCCTCATGAATCTAAATAATGCAATGTTTTACTTTTTTTTTTTTTATATAAATATATTTCTCCAGCTTCTGGGGTACTCCCTACCTGGGCTTAGGTCCTGGGACCCTTCATCAAATCGTGATTCCGCGCCTGTTGCGCCCCTTCTAGCCGATGTCCTGGATCCGCCCCTGAAGGTGAAGATCTACTTATTTCATGTCTATGCATAATATACTGAAACTTGCGTAAATTCTCAGAATGGTATAGGTTAAGTTTGTTTCTAACATCATGAATTCAAAGATGTTATGATGTTATATGAATACATACCATGTAACGCGGTACCACATTGTAAAGGAAAATATTGGTTTCGTGACGACGAGAAAAAGTTTTGATTTTGAGATGTTGAATTTAGCGAATCTTCAGATTCCATTTAGTCGGACACGAGAGCAGACGACATTCAATACAATTATCTCTACTGAGTAGCGCCCTTCTGTCGACATAAATCGATGTAAACGAAGTTCCTATCAATCTCAGTTTAAGACTCCCTGTACATGGACAACCAGAGACGTTAATTCAGGTATCGTGTACATTCAGTCCTCATCCAGCTGGAAACCCAGTGTTGTAACTGTGACATATAGAAACCATAGGTTGTGGAGCAGGGATGTTACTATCAAAGAATGGGAATATTCATGATCGGAAAATCGAACCGTTCCCGCTTATAGCTTATTTGTTCTATTGGTCATAATGGAAATAGAGATCAAGGAAATCTGCTTGAGTAGAAGAGTCTGTAGTGTTCTTCATTTCAAGTTCAAGGGGGAACAAATGTATATTCCATCGACGCAGACAATAATGTTTTAGTCATTTAATATTTAAAAGATGCACACATCGTTTACATTGCCTGGGATTTGTTACCAGTCTTGATAAGCCGAGTCTTTAATAAATCCAGCCTCATATGGAAACAAAAATAAGTCTGTCCGATAGGAATATGTTTCTCTTTAGAAATGCCTGTAGTCTGTTGCGAAATATTGTCATCGACTCAAAAAAGATGTCTCCAAGGAAATCAATCATTTGAATTTGGCCTTTTTGTGCTTTCCAAAAAATGATTCCCTAAATATTTTATAGCCTTTCATTCATATCGCTGCTCGCCATTCTTGGAAAGGAAATCTCCCGTAACAAGAAAATGAAGGCGTGTTTTTTTTTCATTCTGTTATGAAGTATGGAAATGAAAAGGGTAGAAATGTGAAAAGTTCCAGAAGAAGAAACGTGTTAGAGGAGTGTTCGCCCAAGATTGATTAAAGACCTTAAATTATTCAAAATCCACTGACCGTTAATTCCACTTCGTGGTTGTACAGGCCCCCACTACGACCACACTACGACTGTTACCCAGATTTAATGGTACCAAGAATGGAAGTAAGAAGTTTGGATAACGGCTTGGTTGAGCAGTTAGCAGAGACAGCGACAAAACGTAGTTTATAAGCTTCGAAATCAAATACAACCAAGGCAGGTCTGTATCCTTATCATTGATGGGCAATCGATAGATCGATAAATAATTAACAAATATTTTGTCGATTAGAAAATGTATGTATAGGACGCATGGTTAGCAAGCAAACCTAGTACTTTTTGCAAGCAGGACTATACAGTGTATGCAGATAGGATTACGTTGATGAATACTTTGTCTGCAAAAATAATGCACTTTGAACATACACTGTTAGGGACAAGACATACAGGCACGTGTTTTTAATCATTCGTTTTTGAATTAGTCTAAGGGTCTTATCATTTGACCCACTCGGAAAGTGAATTCGATTCTGCATGCTTTCCTTTTGCAAACTGTCAGCTATAATCTTCCAAAGAATCAATCAGTATTTCAAAATTCACTTGGCAGTTGATATCAAGATTCTCTTTATAGCTGGGACTGCTCATGAAAAGCTACCGTAGCGCCAGTAACTATACGTGTCCAACTGGACCATACGCTGTATGGGTTACGATATATTAGATAACCCCAATTCAGCTGATGTAGCGTTTGTTTAATTTGAGGTGAAAAGCTTGTAAGCAATATGAGTGTAGAATAACTGTATAAAAGCTACCGGAGAGTCAGGACTGTCCATACGAAGGCGTAAAGAATCAGAATTGTGCTAAATCATCAAGAATTTTAGAAAGTATCCAAGATAGTTCCTAAATAATCATAAGAACAGTTTAAGTAGAATCCTCATGTTGTGTCCGTAGTACAGAAAGAAGAAGTGAATGAAGTTTGGTTTGAACATGCCGGACACCGAGTTTGTGATACTGGTGTCCATGACCGCCATTACGTCTCCTTTGTGGAGTTAACAAAGACTATGTAAAGTATGACTTCATCCTAGAATTGACAATCTTACAACACAGTAAACACGAGTCGACACGGCCTTTACACCCATATAAAGATATAATGAGTAGGACATTTCGGTAAGGTAAAATAGAGAACGGCGCTCTTACAACACAGTAAACACGAGTCGACACGGCCTGTACACCCATAAAGATATAATGAGTAGGACATTTTGGTAAGTTAAAATAGAGAACGGCGCTCTTACAACACAGTAAACACGAGTCGACACGGCCTTTACACCCATATAAAGATATAATGGGTAGGACATTTTGGTAAGGAAAAATAGATTCAGAGATTTTTTTCAGAGATTTTTATTATCACTCAGGCACACCAATGTGCGCAACAAGAGGTCATCATAAAGTACAATATAACAATGATATGGTTGACCGTTAAGCAATCATCTTACTATGCTAGCGTACAATAATATAGTGGAAACTATTACACTCCTCATACAATGATAAACACAATATTACACTGTACTATCATACCTTATTATAATAGACAGTATAACGCACTGATCATACAATGACACTCATCATACACTGTGATATACATTATTACACTCATTTTACAATACTATTACGATAATATAATACATAGCATTACATCCACACATACCGTGCGTTCACACTATGGTATAGCAGGCACTGTTGCATCCATCTTACAGTACAATCCTACAATAATATTATTACAGTATTACACATATATTACTCGCACTCCATGATACATATATTATAGATAGTATACCACACCATACAGTGCAATCATACCATGGCATAATAGTGACTATACTACTCATCATACCATATAATATTACAAAGGTATAATAGACAGTGTTACAATCCCATCATACAATACTGTAATAGACAGATAACAAACAAACCATGATAAGCAAGCTGTAACCACACTCATTATGCAATACAATTATGTTAGGTTTAGCAAATGATCAGTAATATCTATATGTATACAAAAGTTTACAGTTTGATGTGTGAAATTCACATATTATTTTTTAATTGTCTTTCTAGTAATTGTATGAACAGCGATAGATTTGATAATATTCTAACATTACATATTGATATTAATCCTTTCATTTTATGAACAGATGGATTAGAGGTGTAATAAATAGGTATATATTTTCTGCGGATTTGACTTACATAAGCATTTGAACATATAAACAAATAATGATACTCGCTTCCAACTCCAGTAAAACAAAGCGGACAGATTCTGCCTTCACGTGGTGTTCTAGTCCATCGCCCAGTCTCTATAGGCAGAGATATATTACTGGTTCTGAACTTACAGATAGTTATTCTATCTTTTTGTTTGAGCATAGTTAAGTATTTTTCAAACTGAAATTGATGTTTAAATATTGCATATGTTTGACCCCGGGAAGAATTTTCAATATCAGTATACCATTGTTGTATAAATTGGTCATACAGAATAGTTTTAAAACTAACCCTAAGGTAATTTTTATTCATAGTGCAAGTTTTTTGTTGTAACCATACGTAACTTAGTCCCGTGCAATTGAATAGATTCTTGATATATGAAATCCATTTAAAATCAGCGAAATCATTTTCATGTAAATTCAGCATAAGCTTGTACATTATACTAGACAATTTATTTTCACCTGTAATTAGTTTATACCAAAACATTATCATTCTAGATTTAATTTCAATATTCAGAGGGTACCTACCCGTTTCACCATATACCATTATATTTGCTGTGGAGC